TGCTATGAGTCAGAACTGACTCCACCGCACATAACAACAACAACATAAACAGACAGGGAAACAGACAGAAAGGGAGACAGACATTTTAATTCATGGATCTCCAGTCTCTGGTAAATTATTAAAATAGTCTCAATTACTCAGCTAACATACGTTTAGCTATTACATGCAAAGCACTTTATTCTGGAAGATTACAAATAGGAAGACAGGCTCTACCTTCTTCATACATGAAACATTTGCTGAACTTCCATAATGTACTAGGTTCTGAGGATTGCTACTGTTAAGTGTCATTGAGTTGGTTTACCACTCTTAGGAACCCTATGCACAATAAAATGAACCACTGCCTGGCCCTGCACCCTCATCACAGTTGCTATATTTGAGCCGAATGTTGCTGCCATTGTGTCAATCCATCTTTCTGAGGATCTTCCTCTTTTTTGCTGACACTCCACTTTACCAACCATGACATCTTTCTCTATGGACTCATCCCACCTGACAACATGTCCAAAGCACATGAGACAAAGTTTTGCCATCCTGGCTTCTAAGGACCATTATGGCTGTACGTCTTATAAGACGTATTTTGTTTGTTCTTCTAGCAATCCATACTTTCAATAGTCTTCTCTAACACCATAATTCAATTTATCGATTCTCCTATGGTCTTCCTTATTCACTGTCCAACTTTCACAAGCATATGATGCAACTAAAAATACCATGGCTTGGGTCAGGTGTACCTTAGTCGTCAAACTAATATCTTTGTTCTTGAACACTTTAAAGAGGTTTTTTGCAGATCTGACCAATAGAATACATCCTGTTTCTTGACTGCTACTTCCATGAGTTGATGGTGGATCCAAGAAAAATGAAGTTTTTGACAACTTGTCTTTTCTCCACTTATGATGTTAGTTATTAGCCCAGAGTCCTGATGTGGTGATATAAGAGAAGCACAGATGCACAAGGTTGTCTGAGCTGCAAGGTCGGCAGTGCAAACTCACCAGCCGCTCCTTGGAAACCTTATGCAGGGTCGCTATGAGTTGGAACTGACTCCAAGGCACTTAACAATTTATTGATCCTGTTGTGAGGATACAATACAATATGGTAGATCCCCTTCCCGGGAAAGGCTCAATCACGTGGCTCATTAAATATGCACCATTGATGGTGGTGTGGTGTGCCACCAAGTCCATTCTGACTTATATCAACCCTGTATAAGGTTCCAAAGCTATAAATCTTTACAGAAACAGAAAGACTCATCGTTCACCTTTGGAGCAACTGCTGACCTTGCAGTTAGCAGCCCAGTTCGTAATCCATTCTGCTACCCAGGTTCCTTAAATAAACCCTATTACAGAAACAGAAACTGTTAGGGAAATTCAGTTAGAGAAAGATTACTTTCACCTGTCAACTCTGGCAACGATTCCTAAATAAAGTTGTGAGCATTTCAGCTGAGGTTTGAAATATGGATAGAACTGTCTTGTGTGTGTGTGTGTTTTGGTTTTCATCTTTTTTTTTTCTTTTTTTAAGTTTTTATTGTGAATTGATAGTTTACATGAGAGAACATCAGTTTTACACTCATCATTTCATTGCAATGATTACAATTTATTCCATGCATCATCTTTCAACAGTATTTGCTTCTATTTCCTCTGGGGGTTTTTTTGTTTTTTGATTTTTTTTATATACACAAAAACACAAAAACATCAGCAATCATTTAAACAACCAAAGGGCACATTCTGCAAGACTGCCTCCTGACCGCCAGCACACAGCCTTTCTCTTTCCATGAATCTAGAGTCCTCAGCTGCTCTATCTCTGGTGTCACTGCCTCTCTGGATAGGGTCCCATATTCCGCTCGCTCACGCTCTTCTCCCTTGATGGGCCTACGGTCCTCTAATCCTGAACTGTAAGACTAACTACTCCCCCTTTTTGTTACAAAACTTCTACCTTTACAGTTGTGATGGTCACAATTAGTCAAGATAACAATTATTCATTATTGAATCATAAGAATCTTATCCCCATCTCCTTTCACCAGACCCATCTAGACAAGATGATAACTATTCAGTGGGGATTCTACCTTCCCTGCACACTCTGAAACTAAACTCCCTCTTGAAAACTTGTAAACCAGCCACACTGTGCCTTTATCACCCCACCATTTCAGGTAGCCAACATCTAAGTTGCTTGTCCCTATCAACCCTGTATACAGAGGGGATAAGACTGATACTTGATGTGAAGACTCCTTCCCTCTCAGTTGGTATTTTGAGATACTACATCCATCAGTATAGCTCTGGTAGCGTAATGGTTACGAATCAGGCTGCTAACTAACCTCAGAGTCAGCAGTTTGAAACTACCAGCTGTTCCATGGGAGAAAGATGAGGCTTTCTACTCCCATAAAGATTTACAGCCTCAGAAACCCAGTACAGGGTCGCTATGAGTCGGAACTGATTCCACGGTACATAAGCACCACCACCACCACATCCATAAGTATAGGTCAAGTTCATTAAATTGTAGCAATTTACACTTACTTCCTTTATCAAAAATTGTTATATCTTCCTCTAGTAGAGTTCTGATCATCAAGCCATTGAGGCTAGGTCAAATGAGTACAGTCTACAAGTTTGGAAATTCTTGTGTGTGTCAGTTAAAAGTGTTATTAACTGTAAAAACCTTTAACACTACTGAGGGGGCCATAAACTGAAAAGCAAAAGTACTACATCTCACCCTCTTATTCTAAAAGAATTGACTCTGGGTTTCTTACATAGCTTCCAGAAACTATCTTTGTATTCCCATGTAAATAATCTGTTCCTATCACAAACGAAATATACTGCTCTGCAACTTTTCACTGAAATATACGTCTTAGATATTGTTTCACATCAACATAAATGGACCAGCTGCATAATTTTTAGCAGAATAGAACTCTACCATAATTTGTTTAACCACTTCCCTATGGATGTTCACATTGTTTTCAGTTTTTTTGCTATTTTGAAGAATACTGCAGTTCAAACCCACATGCTGGTACTTGGAAACCCTATAAAGGGTCCCTATGAGTCAGAACTGACTTGATGTCACTTAACATCAGCAATCTAGGAGGGTTATTTCCAAACGGGTACACATTCTGACACAAGAGTGGATGGGATGCAATCTGGGTAAAGGAAAAAGTGTGAAGAAAGGTGGGAATATAAAAGGATTGCTCTATAAAGGGAAGTCGTTTTGGGTGGCTAGAACGTGGGCCACAGGGAGCTGTAAAACCATGTGACCAGCCTGTGAGCGCCCTACAGTGGGTGTCAGTGAATCTGAACTTTAGTGAAGTAGTGAGGACCTGATTAAGGTTTCTGAGCAAGATAGTAACAAGATCAGACCTTTACCTTGGGCAATGATGTGACTGCAGTGAGATGGAAGAGTAAGAGACAGGAAGCCGTTGCAAATACAAAGTGACAAATGAAGATTATATAGAACAATCACTTATACTAAACAGAGAAGTAGAAAGCAAGAGAGAAGTAACAGTCAAGAGTCATTTTTAAAGTTTCAAGTGAAGGTGACTTGGCACAAATAAGATCCAACCAACATCTGCTTTTTCTGAGGTTAGTGCAGAGCAGTCACGTAACGGTATCATGCAAGTAGATGGGGAAGCAAGCAAGATTCAGGAAGGGCCCAAGCTGAAGAAACATACATGAAAATAATTTTTAGAGAGGAATTTTAAGAAGGTTTGAAGAGAGAAGGAAAGGCTGAGAGCATTATTTTCAGGTAACCCCCGTTTTCCTAAACAACGTGTTAAGTAAGCCCTGTAGTCTTTTTTACCTAAGGTTCATTTGAGGTACAGAATACAGAAAATAACCGTTCTCAACTCTTCCAATGATGGTACATGAATAGTACCACTCTAGATACATACCAAGTTAATTCGTTGCATTCAATGATGCCTTAGAACAGTAGGACTGAAATTTCTCCCAAAACCCAGGGTGGAGTAATGTCACAAAGCAGGAGAGCATTTCAGGAGTGGGTGGTTAATAATAATTATTACAAACCAACAGTCCTAACAACTTCACCCTCAGCAACTACCTTAAAACGAATAGCCTAGGACTCACTGGACTCAACAAACTCAAAATGAACCCATCAACCGCTCCCAATCGCACCACATAAACACCACTTCTCATCCAGACTTCGGTCCCGCCCATTCTGCTGGACCGAAAGGCTGGCGTGGGTCTCCACTTCCACGAAGGAACCAGAAACTTAGAACCGGGGGCTCCCTTCAGACTTAAGGCAGTACAGCCGACTGCAGCTTCCCCCCGCAGGGCGGACCCGTCGGCCAACTCATTCAGTACAGGTCGCGGCCTCTCGCGCTCAGCCCGGGAGCCTGGCAGCACGTACCCGGCGTCGGCCCCCCGGTCCCCATGCTGTCGGGCAGCTCTGTCAGGAGCCCGTCCGGGAACGGCGACTCGGGGACACTCATGTCCCTCCCTCTGGGAACAGGGAAAGAGCAGAAGAGCAAGCACCAGAACAAAAAGAAACAGGGAAGCGGAACCGAATGCTCCCCAAATCCCGCCGGACAGAAGCGGCGGTTGCACGCGGAAGTGATGGAACGGAAGAAAGCAGGCTCAGGTCACGTGACAGCGACCCTCCCCCCGCCTCCCCGGAATCCCGGCCCAGACGTCAGAGTTGACTAGCGAGGTGGTGCCTGTGACTCGGGGGTGGGGAGGAGCTGCCCACGCTATGAGCCTGGAAAACAGAAAGACTTTTCTCTGTGTTGGACGCGAACTGAAAAACAAGACTTGGTTTACAAAACCAGGTAGAAAACGGGACACAGCGTTGCATTTTTATTTGTGCCCTGTTAAAAGAAAAGCTTTAAGAACAAGGACTCCGTGGTTTCGCGCAGATTTGAACCATTTAAAATGTTGATGTCTAGTTTTCTATAAGCTGCATATTTGCTAATTGAGAGTTTACCACGATTCCTGCCTCCCTTGTTCTTTGTATGTTAGTGATTTAAGACCTTATTTTAGCATCTCTGCTTGACAGTAATAGGTTGTTCATACAGCATCTACTGAAAATATTCATCCAAATTGTTAGAAACTGCACTTGCTGAGACCCAGTGAAATGATGTAGTGGAATTTTAAAAACACTTAGAAATGGGCAGAGGCAGTTTCAGATTAAATAAAACAGCAGCTATACTTTCCCCCGTGTGGCGGTATGGTATAAAGCATAGAACTGCATGGTCGGTTTGAACCACAAGGTCAGCGGTTCAAATTCACTAGCCACTCCTTGGAACTCCTGTACAGGGTCGCTGTGAGTAGGAGCCGACTCGGTATCACTTAACAACATCAACATGCCTCCTACCTTAAACTGTATTGTTGCTGTTGTGTGCTGTTGAGTGGGTTCCGACTCGTGGCAACCCCTGTATAGGGTTTCAGGAGCGGCTGGTAGCTTTGAACTGCCGATCTTGTGGTTACCGGTCCAGTGCTTATCCTACAGTGCCTCATGGGGCTCATATCTTCAACTGTAGTTCATTGGTTTCCATCAAGTCTATTCCGATTCATGGAGACCTCAGACAGAACAGAAGTAAACGTTGTCGGGTTCTGTGTCATCCTCACAATTGTGGTTATGTTTGAGCTCATTGCTACAGCTGTTGTGTTTTCCATGTAATGTGTGATGTCTGTCTTTTCCACTGATTCATTCACTATCAAACACATCTTTTTCCAGCCATTGGTAACCTTAGATGATTGCTCCTATTATTTCCCAACTAGATAGTAAGACCCTTTAGAATAGACCCTTGATCTATGGGTTGTCTGTAACCCTTTTATCTCATGTTGTTGTTGTTAAGTGCTGTCAAGTCAATTCTGACCCATAGACCCTGTATAGGGTTTCCAAGGAGTGGAGTAAGTTTGAACTTCTGACCTTACAATTCAAACCGACCTTGCAGTAGAGTACTTATCTTACAGCGCCATACCAGGACTCCTCTTGATAACAATATTAATCATATCACATGGACTTGTAAACACTAATTACATTTAATAATGAAATTAAACTGCTACATTGCCTATTTTTATCATTTTTCTATGTTGCATTAAGGAAAAAGTCCAAAGAGAAACAATGAGTTCTTTTCTTTCATATTCTAACTTTACCTAATGTGACAGAGTTACAAATCGGGCTGCAAACCTTAAGGTCAGCAGTTCAAAACTACCAGCCGCTCCACGGGAGAAAGATGAGGCTTTCTGCTCCCATAAAGATTTACAGCCTCGGAAACCCTGTACAGGGTCGCTATGGGTCAGAACCGACTCAATGGCACTTAAAAACAACAACAACAATGTGACAGAAACAATCAGTTAAACAGGCAAGGAGGATTTTCTACTATATCCATCTTCCTTTTCTGCTTCTCCCTTTCCTTCTGTGATAGTTAAGGTTGTGTATCAAATCATCTGGGCCATGATTCTCAGGGTTTGGGTAGTTAGGATATTGTCATCCCCAATGATGAGATCTGATGAACCTCCATGATGAGATTGGCTATGAACAGCCAATCAGTTGAAAAGGAATTTCCTCGGGGGTGTGACTTGCATCCAATATATATGGAAGTTCTGGCAAAGGTCTCTCCGACTTTTTGCTCCATATGGATCCTGCATCTGGCTCATTATCATCTGACCTCTGGTTCTTTGGACTTGAGCCAGTGAGTGACCTGCTGTATTTCCTGCCAATCTTGGGTTCATCAGCCCCTGCAACTTCTTGAGCCAGAAGGAGTCTCTAGCCTGCTGCCTGGCCCATGGTATGGTATTTGCCAGTCAGGGTTGCTATTAATTGTAACCAACACAATACACAACAACAGCAATAACTATGTGAACTAATTCGAGATAAATTTTTCATTCATACACACACACACACACACACACACATGAAAGGGCTTCAAAAAGTTTGAGAAAAATAGAGCTGAAAGATAAAGGAGTTTTTTCATGAACTTTTTGAACCTCCTTGTGTGTGTGTGTCTATGTGTGTGTGTGTTTCACTGGGTTTGCTTCTCTAGAGAATCCAGCCTAAGACAAGAGCTTTTTTACCAGTCAATTCTGACTCCAGAGACTCCTTGTGAGTCAAGTTAGAGCTCAGTGGCTGGTTTTTCAGAAGTAGTTTACCAGACCTTACCCCTTTTTCATTTCTGGATGGATTCAAAGGTCTAACCTTGCAGTTAGCAGCTGAGTATGTTACCAATTTGCACCACCCAGGAGCTCCTTTACTTTACCCCCACAGATTTCTGCTTAATGCACCAAGTGCTTGTGGAGTGTTCTTTGAGTTCTAGTCTCCATGAAGTAGCTGTGGTGCCCCTAACATTGCATGTGACACAGAGGTCAAGAGCAAAATGTTGGAATTTAATGACAAGGAAGTAAACACTGTTCATTGAGTCGTTATATGTGTCTTCCAAAATGTTCTTTATTTCCCAGTAGTAGCCATTCCCTTTTATGCAGCCAAGTTATAATCCTCTACAAACAACTGAGTTCTTAAGACTGGCCTGGGCACTGTTGTTGTTTGGTGCCATCAAGTTGGTACTGACTCATAGTGACCCTATGCACAACAGAAAGAAACACTGGCCATACTACACCAACGTAACAATCTTTGCTAAGTTTGAGCCCAATGCTGCTGCCATTGTGCCAATCCATCTTGTTGAGTGTTTTCCTCTTTTTCTCTGACCATCCACTTTACCAAACATGATATCCATCTCCAGGGACTGGTCCCTCCTGATAATAAGTCCAAAGTATAAGAGACCATGTCTGGTCATTCTGGCTGTCTCCCAACACAGATTTGTTTATTCTTATGGCAGTCCATGGCACTTATAACATTCTTCTCCAACATCATAATTCAAATGCATCGATTCTCCTATGGTCTTCCTAATTCACTGTCCAACTTTCACATGCATATGAGGTTATTGAAAATACCTTAGTCCTCAAACTGACATCTTTGCTCTTCAACATTTTAAAGATATCTTGTACAGCAGATTTCCCTAATGCAATACATTGTTTGATTTCTTGCATTAAGGAAAAAGACTGATGCTTCCATGAGTGTTGATGATTGATCCGAGCAAAATGAAGAAGTCATTGACAACTTCAATAATTTCTCCATTTATATGGATGTTGTTTATTGGTTCAGTGGTGAGGACTTTTATTTTCTTTACATTGAGGTGCAATACATACCAAAGGCTGTGGTCTGTGATCTTCGTCATTAAGTATTTTAAGTCCTCTTCACTTTCAGCAAGTAAGGTTGTATTATCTGCATATTGCAGGTTGTTAATGAGCCTTCCTCCAACCCTGATGCCACGTTTTTCTTCATATAACCCAGCCTCTAGAATTATTTGCTCAGCATACCGATTGAACAAGTATAGTGAAAGAATGCAACTCTGACAGACACCTTTCCTAATTTTAAATAGCTCAGTGTTCCCTTGTTCTGTTTGAACAGCTGCCTCTTGGTCTATGTACAGCTTCCTCAAGAGCACAATTAAGTGTTCAGGAATGCTCATACGTTGCAATGTTGTCCATAGCTTGTCATGATCCACACAATCTAAAGCCTTTGCATAGTCAATAAAGCACAGGTAAACATCTTTCTGGTATTCTCTGCTTTCAGCAAAGATCCATCTGGCATCAGCAATGATACCCCTAGTTCCATGTCCTTTTCTAAATATGGCTTGAACCTCTGAAAATTCTCTGTCAATGTATGGTTGTAGCCATGTTTGAATTATAGATACTGTGTTGTTGTTGTTAAGTACCGTGGAGTCGGTTCTGACTCATAGTGACCCTGCACAGGGTTTCTGAGGCTGTAAATCTTTACAGGAGCAGAATGCCTCATCTTTCTCCCGTGGAACCGCTGGTTGTTTCGAACTGCTGATCTTGAGGTTAGCAGCCCGATTCGTAACCACTATGCTACTATAACTGGGTAAAAAGCACTAAAAATCCTGGTTTCTATCTCTTAGAAACTCCTATTACTTACACGTAGTAGAATTAGTATGACAGTAAAGTGCTAAATTATGTGAAATAAAATCGATTGTGTGGATTGTGTGGATCATGACAAG